TGTGTAAGGCTTGGAGATACATAGCTGTGATTATTGAAAAGTGAAAAATGGATACCAGACCTGCCTCATATCAAAACCTATTGAAGACAAAAAAAAAATTCAACAAACATTCTCTCTTCTAACCCTTTTGAATAATATATAATTTATATAATAAAAATTAATAAAAGCATAAAGTTTAACAACCATCAGATTCAAAACCCATGCAACTAAAACCCATGTAAAGAAATAGAAAATTTCAAGGATTACTAAGATCTTTCCTCCTTCTTTATCTTTCCATATACTACAACCATCTTTACCTATCACATGGCCTTCATGTCTAATGTGAACTGTGGTTTATTTTTGCCTAGTTTTGAAATTTGTATAATAAGAACAATGTAATATAAACTGTTATGTTCAGTCTATCTTATTTTCCTTGTGTTCTTATAAAGGACCTCCAAGGGCTCATCTTCATCTTCTTGACAACAACTAGGCTTGATGTAAATTACTGTGGCTGATGAATAAGACAAATGATTGATTTGATGTAAAGCAATTGGGGCTCAATTTGGATACTGGAACTGGGTCAACTTTATTGAAAACAAAATGAAGAGTAATGACTATATAAAGTAAATTTTGAGGCATGGAACCTCTAGGAGGATGAACTTTGGGAAATTGTTGACTTCTTTAAATAATATTTTGTTTGTTTTTGTATGTTTCCTTTTTTTTTTAAGACAGGTCTTTATGAGAGAGTCTACCACTAAGTCCAACAAATAGCAACTTCAAAGAATAAACACATTCTATCACACAAGTTTCCGAGGGTTGGGAGTCCTTGAACAACTTAGGATGGATGTGACTCAGGTTCTCTCATTAGGTGACTGTCAAGATAGTTGGGGCTCTGTTATCTGAAGGCTTGAGTAGAGCTGGAAAGTTGGCTTGTAAGACATGCTCATTACATAGCTGCTAGAAATAGATTTTATTTCTTTTTTAATTGAATTTATTGAGGTATCCTAAGTTCACAAAATCATACATGTTTCAAGTGTACAGTTCAACAAAGAGGTTTTAGCTCCTTGTCATATGGTCCTTTCAACAAGGCTGCTCCTGATACGATGGCTGGCATTCCCATATCCAGTGACCTGAAAGAGAAAAAGAAGGAAGAAGCCACACTATCTTTTGTGAACTAGACTCAGAAGTGGCATACTATCATTTCCACTGTCTTTCACTGGTCACACATATCAACTGTGAGACAATGTGGAAGGAATTTAAGCAAAGTTTTGTGAATCTGAAAGTGTGAATCATTGGTGAACAACTAGCATTTGACTATAATTCATACTTTGTGGATTTTTACCTTTATAATAAACAAAGACTGATAATATGAGACATACCTCTTTGAGAAATGTAAAATTTATAAGTACATTTACAACTCTTACTATGTGACCTAAGAAAGGATAAGGCAATGTAGAGAGTAGGGTTGGTGACTGTATAATCTCATTTCACACAACTTGACGTGAATTGGCAAACTATGGCCTGTGGAGCAAATTTGTCCCACCATTTATTTTTCTAAATAAAATTACCTTGTAACATAGCTAAACCATTCATTTACATACTATCTATGTTTTCTTTTTGCACTGCAATGGCAGAGTTGAGTAGTTTCAACAGAAAACTTGCCCACAAAGCTAAAAACATTCACAATTCACTTTTTGAATGCTTTGAGGATGTAAAGAGAAAAAATTCCAAAATTCCAAAATTGCAGAAATGTAAAGTGTGGGTAAATATTCCAAATATTTCCAAAAGAAATGATAAGGCTCCCATGAGCATACTTATATAATGTTTTTAATAAAGGCAAATAGTCTGATACAGCAGGAGAAAGAGCATTCAAATGAATTGGGGACCGAGAAACATCCAGGAATAAACTTTCCAAAGTTTATTTACACAAAGATAATTTTTCTCTGGATAAAACTGCTAATATTTGTTCTGATATTTGTGTGGTGAAATTTGTTTTTTGGAGAGCTGAAGCAGAAGTTTCTCGCAGAGTTTGGTCATATAATGGAGACCGAATGTCTAACCAATTTTCTCCACTGTAAGTTATCAATAAACAAATTGGCCCTTGAGACTTTTGAACTTAAAAAAAAAACTTACTATAAATAATTAGTTAGTTGGTTAATTCACTGTCCTTACTATGACCAAGAGGTAAAAACTGATGCTCTAATATGTTGAGATAAGCAGAAAGCTATCCCGACCCAACTATAAAATAACCCTATTGGACAAATTTAGATGTCACTAATGGAGTAACTAAGAATAAATATATTGGGGTAACCATAAAGCCACAATGAGACACCACCTCACTCCTCACAGCATTCAAAATGGCAACAGAGAGGGGTGGCTTCTGGGAGCTGAAGGCCTCAGTCCCACAACCACAAGGATCTAAATTATGCCAACAGCCTGAAGGAACTTGAATAGAACTCTGCGTTTCAGATGAAAAGGCAGGCTGATGAAGACCTTGGTTCTAGGCTTATGAAACCACAGATAAGGAAACAACTAAGCCATAGCCAACTCCTGATCCAAAGATAATACCAGGTAATAAACATGTACTGTTGTTAAGTTCCTAACCTCCTCATAATTTGCCATGAACCCACACATAGCATGTATTATGCATACTCGGGGTTACATATTTAGGGTTTCAGAATAAAATAAGGAAGACTACGTGGACTACTGCCATATTTTTTGTGTGTTTCTTAGACATTTCCTCACCCTCTTCTATTTGTTTTATATCTAACACTGAAATAGTCACTCAACTAAATCCTCTCATGTGCACAATCCCATTTAAAAAAAAAAAGAACAAAAGAAAAAAATAAAAGTATCTATCCCCAGAGAATATATTAGAAATCACATGTCAGAGGGAAGAAAAATACTTAGTAGAAAGACCTTTATGTAAAAGAAGTCTCACCCATCCCAAAGATTATAAAGAGACTTTCAGGATGAAGGAAAGCAGAATGCAGGTAAGAGTGGGAGGAATAATGTCAAACATGAAATGGGTCACATGGTCAAGGCCTGTGTATGACTAATATAAGAGGACCATGCTGTGAGAGAGACACTGCCATGGGTGACTAGAATCCTCCATTCAATCCAGAACTTTCCATTGGAATACTCTGAAACTATATGGAAGCTGAAAAAACTCAGAGCTATAATTGGGAGGCAACAGTAATTTTCCTCTCCCAGAGGAGACAAATTTTGAAAGCATTAATCCTGGACAGAAAGTGTGAAAATGGAACATCTTTGGTTCATTGCAGAGAAAATCACTCTAAGCAAGAAAACAGTCAAACAAAAGAAACAAGAATTCCAAAGGAAATTGCTTCATGAGAGCAGGACAGGGAGAGGGGAGAGTTGGAAGAGAAAATTACTCATTTAATTATAATCTTATCATACTGTGTTTTAAATTGAAATTATTGTGTATTATTTGGAAATCATGTGGACAATAAAGCCAAAACATAAAATATCCAGGAAGTACAATGTATGTTCGCTTAGTTCCAGTTAAACGTTTGAAAAATGTTTTAGCCTGTCCTGTGTTGTTGTTTTTTCATAATATAACTTAAATGTATTTTTCCTAAGTCAATCTTTATACATGAAAGTAAAGAGCTCAACTTTTAATCTTATTATATTTATATAATGACACATAAAAGATTCTTTCTTCTTCCTGGCTCATTATATATTGAAAATCAATTTGAGTTCTTAATTGTTATTATTATTTAATTGAAATATAAAACTATTAAATATATAGAAATGTCAATATAAATTTGACATTAAACCAAAATGTATACAACAATTACCAAAAAGAAAGGAAATTGGATTCTGAAATCTGTGAGACTGTAAAAACCTCATTCAGATCTCAAGACTTGGACCTCATTGTGTTCCTAGCCCTTCTATGACACATTCAGAAATGCCTCTATAAAATCGTTCACTCCCTCTTCCACAAAAAAAAGGGAATTGTTCATATTTTACACATATCATTTAGGAAAAGGTTCTTGGGATTGATTAGAGATTAAGACCTTCAATGCATGTGCAATCTTTTATTGATTGATAAGGAAGAGTGAAGTAAAGAAAGAGGTACCGTCAATGTATGTGATCAGGACTTGGAGTCCCTTTACCCTAAAAATTCTGAAAGCAATCAAATATTATAGGAATCACATATTAGACCAAAGACTTAAAATCATCTTACAGAACTCAGGAACATCAAGAGAAAACACAGCTGAAACCGGTTTGGCTCGGTGGATAGAGTGTCGGCTGCAGACTGAAGGGTCCTGGGTTTGATTCCGGTCAAGGGCATGTACCTTGGTTGCGGGCACATCCCCAGTGGCGGGGGTGCAGGAGGCAGCTGATCGATGTTTCTCTCTCATCAATGTTTCTAACTCTCTATCCCTCATTCTTCCTCTCTGTAAAAAAAATCAATGAAATATATATTTTTTAAAAAGAGAGAGAAAACACAAATGTGCACCCCTCTGGAGCTGGAAGATACATCTGAGGAAACTTATATGCACTTTCAACTCTACATTAACTCATGTTAACTCATTAACTCATCATGTTCTCACATATGAGGTTCATTCATGTAGAAGTATAGGTATCCAGAAAGAACTACCAGAAACGTGAGATGATGATGGGAATTCCCAATATAGTACTCCACACAAAGGTCTGAAATAATGTTGGCGTATATTATTCAATGTAAGTTGTTTAATTTATATTTCTGCAGAGAAAATTTACCAGAATATATATATGACAATATTGATCATATGCACTAAATCAAAATATTTATGAAATTATTTACCTGAGGTTTTGTAATTTTAGGTATACATGCATGCATCTCATCAATTGTAAAATGCATGTTCTCAAATATATGAAATTGCATGATAAAATATAATATGAAGCATTTTACAGATCTCAGAAACAGATAATTAGTCATGATGTAAGAGGAAGACTTACCATTCTTAGTAATGCTGGGCTTTCATTGCCCACCCTTCTGCCTTAAGCCACACCTAAGCGATTGTTTTCACAGATATAAAAATTTTCATCTGTGCAGGGTTCATTCAAAACAGTTTTGGGTGCGTTATACACTATGCAGTTTCCTGGATATAAACCTCCAGTTAATGCAAATCTGTAATGAAAAATAAAATGTTACGTAGAAAAAGGAAATGAAAATTTCCTATCTGAAAATATGTATTTGCTAATTTAATCTAGGAAAACAAATTGGAGCATAAAAGTGTTGTTGTATGATGCTATAATACCATGTTTGTGACTGGAAGCAATATTTCAAGATTACAAATATCCAGAAAATAAGCTCCGATTATAAAAACGTGGGAGGATGCTGAGAATATTGGATACTACCAGAAAAAAAAAAAAAAAAAAAAAGAATAGCTATCCTGCTTTTCCTGAACAGTTTATGTGTGAGAGGACAGCTTTTTATCTCTTCTGTTGTTGATAATTATCTGCTCAGACAAGTCCTGGTATCAAGGTAAAAAGAAAAAGTCAAAACCTATTTTATGATCAAAAGTATAGTAACTTGTGTCATTTGAGCATTTATGTGGATGTTCTATATAAGTCTAAAACTGTTGTTCTCTTATATCTAATCTTTTCTGTATTCTCATGCTCCAAACAGGTTTATTTTAGCTACATTGTCTCTGGAATTTATATTCTCTGAGTACTAAGGATAAACTCATAAAGTATAGGAAAGTCTTGACCGTCAGAAACTTACAGATCTTTGGAAAAAGCAGAGCCATCCTCCCACATCCAGGCATGATGTTTGTCAGAGTAATAGAGTCCAATCCAATAAAAATTTCTAAGGTATTTTATAAATGGCTGCTTTAAAAGAGAGACAAATTATTAATCTAATTTGAATCCACTCTACAAATAAAGTACTCTCAAGAAAGTATTGTCCAGAATCAGATCCAGACTCTACTCTAAATCAATCAAACTGAAATCATTTTAAAAGTCTAGTACAGGAAGTGTGGTCATGTCTCATCATGTTCTCACATATGAGGTCCATTCATTTATGAAGAAAAAAATATCACAAATCTCAATTCTTGAATGAAAGGAAAACTTTATAAAGGGGTTAGATTTTCATGGAATAGTTCTTTCACAGAAGATCAATCATAAAATTGGATTCCAAATCAAAAGCATCTTGAGGAATAGTTTTTCAGACATAACCTTTTCATCCTATTCTCCCCACAGGTTACTCATGCAACTGGAGAACTCTTTCACTTTTCTTAAGAGTTGGGTAACTATTATAATCATGCTCTCATATTTGTTCCTCCTTATATTCCAAAATAATCGCAACAGCTATACAATTATAAAAAAGTATACATTCGATTAAAAAAAAAAACTAAAAATTACAAACTTGCTTGTTTTTTTAAATAAAAAATAATGACCTATTACTAATTTCTTCTTTGATTTCTCTCCAAAATGCCTCTTGTATTTTACCTGGCATCTATCTCAACTTTTATTCCTATAATATAATATAAATTTTTGAGAAATTATGTGTTGGTTTTATAATAATTGTTCTAAGGAATGAAAAAGTAGTAAGTCATTATTATGTCAAAATACCATCCATTTACTATCTGAAAAGACTTGAATCAAAGTAATCAGCTTACTTAGACAATATGTTATCCTAAGCCAAAGACAATATAATTTTTTTTAAAAAAGAATTAAATACATGCCAACTCATCCATGTTTTTCAACTGAAATAGAGTGGAATTCTGAGAAGCACAGAAATCCCTACTTTCTGCCCAAGTTTTTTTTTCATTGGAAATGAAGTAACAGTTGCATTGGTACCCAATCCATTTCTCTTGGCAAAAACAGCAGCCAGAGCCTAAAAGAAAAATAAATAAATAAAACTTGACTAATGTCATTGGAGACTCAATTTTTTAAGCACTATTTTCTCATTCAAAAATTATTTTATATTTTTCTACAAATATTTTTTTTCTACAAATATTTTTGAGAGACTACTTCAGAGGATAGCCATGTGAATGAATCATGGGCATTATATTCTAGAGATAGCATCAGAATTATCATGTTATTAATCATAATTAATGCTAGTTTGGGTAAATATACATAAGAAATTCAGTATGTTAAAACATCCTATAGCTGAGTGTAGGAAGTGACCCAAAGTTGAGTTCTTCTGTGTGAATAGGATTAATTAGATGGAAGAGATATTTAAGGGAGAAAGACATTTTAGCATATTTTCTGAGCCAGGAATAAATATGGTACATTGGGAGAATTATGGTATATATTTTAGATATTTTATTTTCAAACTGAAGATAAAACAGTTAGTTTGAAGACCAACGAACATTTTATCCTCAGAGACAGACGTAATGATACATAGTATGGACTCAAATCTTTGCCAAGTGAATGGTGCTCAAATTATAGAGTTGAATGGTCATTACATGAGGAGAAATGGAGAGAAGTTGAAAATAAACTTCCAGTTAGAAGATCAGTGTTCTGAGGCTCTACTGAATAACCTTGGGATTACAGTTAACAATACTGCATTATACACTTATAAGTTGCTAAAGGGTAGATTTTCAATGTCCTCAGGACAAAAAAGAAATGCAATTATGTGATATGATGGATGTATTAGCTAGTGCTACAGTGGTCATCATGTTATAATATATAAGTATATCAACATCAACTCATTGTATATTGTAAACTTATACTAGCACAATGTTATATGTCAATTATATCTCAATAAAGCTGGGAAATACCTCAAGAAGAAAAAGATAAATAAAATACCATTTGATCATAGAAGATGATGAGACAACTTGGAGAGAATTTGGGGAAATGCATTAAAAGAAATTGGACTGAGTTGGCTTACAATGGAAAAGTAGGCTCAGATTTACAGAAATCTCTGCACTATGTTCTAAGTCATGTAAGAAATGAAGCAAAGGTAAAGATATATATATATAAATATAAGTTATGAGCAAACACTGGCAGATAATAAGGATTAGCTGTAATATGTACTATAATTTGTTTTTTATTTGTTATTTAAACATTAGCATTCATACAGGAAAAATACATCCTTCAGGCCAAATTTTCCTTATTACTTAAATATATAAATGATGTACACACAATGTAATTTAATAATTTTTACATTAGAGAACAAAGAAATGAGATTATTCTAGTCGACAAACTTGTCTTTTACTAAGTGTAATATTCCATCACACTTCTGTGTGAGAAAAACAAAAAACTATTTCATGCTCTATCAAAACTAATATTTTCCAAATTATGGAACCTACCTTCCCGAGGTTCCATGGTGGTGGGTCCTGGAGATGATGTTGGCAGAATACTTTGTTTAGTAAATGCTTTAAGAGATAATTAGAAATTTACTTAATTAGATACAGGTTTATAAAATAACACAATATCGTACATTAGTAAAACAAAACCTTTCTTATTGAATGGCTTTATTTCAGTCTTGATCTTTCCTGGTATATATACTAGCCTATAAAAGCTTACCATTTTTCAACAAAATTCCTAAAGTGGCCATCAGCACAAGGCACGTTACTCCTAAGACCCCAGAAGTCAACCTCCATAGTGTGCTCTGAAAAGCTGTAGAGAAAGGGAGGTGGAGGGATGAGTTGAACAACAAACACAGGAGCTAAACTGCTGATATGCAGTCACCAGAGAGAAAATACAAAAATTTATTCAGTTTGAAAACCCAACTGAAACATTGGAAAATGAAGACATTCCATTGAGAATTCCACCCAAAATTAAACATTTTATGTGATGTACTTTATTCTTTAGGAAGGTTATCCATATGTTTTCTTCTTTACCAGCTCTTTCTCAGAAAGTGGATTCAACATTTATTTTTAATTTGACAAAGAAGTCCAGCGATCTGGAGTAAGAAGAAACAAACAGGCACCAAGCTCTGTTTTATGGACTTACAAAACAAACATTTACTTTAATTTTCTTAGCAAAAATCACAAGTTATGATTCCTACTAGGTAGATGAAAAAAATTAGAGCTAATTATTATTGCTATTTTCTCAAGGTATCAAAGCTAGTAAGTATCCAAGTCAGAAATCAAACGAAAGTTTGTCTAAGACCAGTCTTTATTTAATATATTCTGTCATTGTCACAACACACTTGGGAGCATGTCCTTCTGAGAAAGGTCAGCTGCTCCTAGATGTGTAGAGCTTTTACAGGGAAGAAAAGACATTGAAGTATCTGGATCAAAGCATGGTCAATACGTGGGGAGCTGGGTTTATATCACATTGAATTATGATACATAAGCAACAATTTTTACAAGAACATTTTATTACTAAATACCTCATATTCCTTGCTTGTAGCCATTTTCCCGATAACAATTCAACATTAGGAGATTCTGCATTAACATCAGCACACTCCCAAAATGTTGTCATTAACAACTGACCTATGTGTCACACTGTCAATCTGGTTGGTGTTTGCACGTCACAACCCAAATACAAAATTTTAAAATAGCGTTTGTAAGCTCTGTATCCTAAATACTGTATTCTCTATTCATACTAGAGAACGTGGCTCATAAGTTAACCTGGTAAGTTCAGTTCTCAATTAGAATTTAGAGCTTTCCCTGCCAACAGACACTTTTTAAACCTGTTGGAAAAGCCTCACAAATCATTTTTAAGTTACAGAATGGCCTAACATTTCCCACATTATTTCCTGAAAGCATGCCCTGAAATGAGCTATACCCACAACATACTGTTTATTTCCGTTTATATTTATTTTTAAATTTATGAGTTAGGCCGACATACCTGCCATGAGAAATGTTCTTCCAGTGTAGACACAGAGAAGCCACGATGTTTGTTTGTTTAGGGAGAATGGTGTTGGAGCTGAAGGCTAAGAACCTGAAAGTTGTGTATGAAGAAACTCAAAAGGAAAAGAAAAAATGGTGTGTTTTAGTGATATGCTTGATGTTCCGGAAACCACAGTACAGGAAATTCTCACTTCACTGTGTAATGCAAATTCCTTGGCAATCAGAAGCAAAAAAAAAAAAAAAGTGAAAGGTGTCTTTTTTCTTAATGTTTGAACAGGGATCATCTTTTTAAATTATTGGGGGTAAAGATGGGCACACCAAAGGCATATTACTTAGTATAATAAAGTGCCACAAAATTTCCTTCTTTTAATAACAATAAACATTTATAATTTACTGGCTTTGAACACAGATTCAATTATTTGGCATATGTTAGCACATTTGTATCTGAATGTCCTTTATAATAAAGAGGTAATACTCCAACACACAAGATGGCTACCCCCATGTGGACACAAGATAGCCATCACAAGATGGCCAGCAGGGGAGGGCAGTTGTGGGTGACCAGGCCAGCAGGGGAGGGCAGATGGGGGGAACCAGGCCTGCAGAGGAGGGCAGTTGTGGGCAATCAGGCCAGCAGGGGAGGGCAGTTGTGGGTGACCAGGCCAGCAGGAGAGGGCAGTTAGGGGCAACTAGGCTGGCAAGGGAGGGCAGTTAGGGGTAACCTGTGAGGCAGTTAGGGGTGACTAGGACGGCAGAGAGGACTGTTAGGGGAGACCAGTCCTGCAGGGGAGGGCAGTTAGGGGCAATCGGGCTAGCAGAGCAGTTAGGCATCGATCAAGCTGGCAGGGGAGTGATTAAGGGGTGATATGGCTGGCAGGCAGAAGCAGTTAGTGGCAATCAGGTAGGCAGGCAGGCAGGCAGGCAAATGGTTGGGAGCCAGGAGTCCTGGGTTGTAAGAAGGATGTTCCACTGCCTGATAAGGCAGTCAGATATCCCTCGAGGGGTCCCAGATTAGAGAGGGTGGAGGCTGGGCTGAGGGACACCATCTCCCCCCAACCCCCAAGCACGAATTTCATGCACTGGGCATCTAGTTGCTTAATAATAAAGATACATAAATATACTTATTCTTCTAATGAGAACACAAAGGCAGAACTAAATACATGACCAAGGTCTTTAAGTTTGAGACCCAGGCTATCTTCCTCCAGAGCACACAATGCAATGTATTTCAAGTCAGACCTATCCCCTGTGTCTTATGTTTTGAGATTTTGATTTCTTTTCTTTAGCACAGAGTGGTTGCTATTTCTATCTCTCATTGTGTGCTTCTGATCCCTGCCTCATTAACCCCCGTATGGAAGGTGAAGGTCAAAAAGGTAGAACTAGAGTGATTTCCCATTACTGTTCCATACACACACACACACACACACACACACACACACACACACACACACATACACACCTGTGCTCTACAGCAGTCTCAGTTGGTCTAGGCCCCCAGCGGTCAGCAAACTCATTAGTCAACAGAGCCAAATATCAATAGTACAATTGAAATATCTTTTGAGAGCCACTTTTTTAAAACTTAAACTGCTTCTAACGCCACTTCTTTAAAATAGACTCACCCAGACCATGGTATTTTGTGGAAGAGCCACACTCAAGGGGCCAAAGAGCTACATGTGGCTCGCGAGCCGCAGTTTGCCGACCACAAATCTAGGCCCACCCTTCAGTGCCTCATTCAGGTGAGCCCCAAAGTTTTTTTCAACAACTCTCCAATGTTCAGTTCCCTTCAAGTTCCTTGAACTGCAGCTGCTTTATTACCCTTATTTGTACTAATATTTAAGTATTATATTTTTACTGTGTTCTCTCATTCAGATAGTTAATTTACAAGTTTTTCTCTTCAGAAGAATAACTTAATTTACAAGTTTTTCTCTTCAGAAGAATAACCTTATTAGTGGGAAATTCAAATGTGGGACAAATGGGTAAATAAAAATTTGAAGAGTAGAGACTCTTTTTTACATATTTTTATTGATTTCAGAGAGGAAGGGAGAAGGGAGAGACAGAGACAGAGACATCAATGATGAGAGAGACATCATTGATCGGCTGCCTTCTGCATGCCCCCACTGGGGATGGAACCCAAAACCCAGGCATGTGCCCTTGACCAGAATCAAACCTGGGACCCTTCAGTCCATAGGCCAATGCTCTATGCATCTAGCCAAAACAGTTAGAGTGAGTAGAGACTTTTGAGAGTGGGTGGTTGGTTGGTTGAGAAAAGATCAGCCAAACATGGACACAGATAATAGTGTGGTAAAGGCCTGGGGAGGAGACTGGGGGTGGACTAGAAGGGGTCAATGGGAATCCTATATAATAAAAGGCTAATATGCAAATCAACCAAAGAGCTGAATGACTGGTCGCTAAGATGCACACTGACCACCAGGGGGCAAATGCTCAATGCAGAAGCTGCCCTCTGATGGTCAGTGCACTTCCACAGGGGGAGTGTTGCTCAGCCAGAAGCCAGGCTCAAGGCTGACAAGGGTAGTGATAAACTCAACGGTGGTGGCGGGAGCCTCTCCCGCCTCCGCAGAAGTGCTAAGGATGTCCGACTAACAGCTTAGGCCCTCCTAAGCTGGCAGTCAGACATCCCCCAAGACCTCCTGGAGTGTGAGAGAGCACCAACCTGACTGAGGGACCCCATCAAGTGCACTAATTTTGTGCACCAGGCTTCTAGTATATAATAATTACAATAAAGACTTTTTAAAAAATAGTAGAGACCTTGATCTGTAATTAAATATCTGGAAATAAAATCTAATCTTTACCTGCAAATGAAGCAGATTCTCATATAAGTTTCTTGTTGTTTATAATATTTATTTTCAAGCATTATAGTAGCACTCATTGTAAAAGATGGGCTGCTCAACCACCAAAAACTCAATAATAAACAAGGAATGTGATTTTATTTTTCAGTGTCCATGAGTTAAGTTTTCCATCTGTTTAATTTACATGTATGTACAGAGATGCTTTCACTGAACCATGGGAACTTGCTGAGATTGTAAGTATTTGCCTGAGATTGTAAGCATGAAAGTTCTTCACCCACATTTTATGCAAATTCAAGGTAAGAAAGCTAATTTAAAAGTGATCCTTTGTCTACTTGAAGTCTATTCAATTTTATTTTTAATTAAGTTTATTGGGGTGACATTGGTAAATAAAATTATATAGATTTCAAGAGTGCAATCCTATGATAAGTCATCTGTAAATCACATGGTGTTTAGTACTCAAAGTCAAAATTCCTTCTATCACCATATATTTGATCCCCTTTACTACCTCCTCATTCCCTTCCCCTCTGGTAACCACAATACTGTTATTTATGAATTTCAGTTTGTGTTTTTTATTTTTTCATTTGTTACTTTCAGTTTTATGTTTCACATATGGGTGAAATCGTATATTTCTTGTCTTTCTCTATCTGACTAATTTCACTTAGCATTATATTCTTAAGATTCATCCATGTTGTCACAAATGGTAGCATTTAATCTTTAATCTTTCTTAAAACTGAGTAGTATTCAAGAGTAAAAATGGTTTTTACTTGATAATTATTCTGCCCTTGTACTCTAGGAAATAAACAAAAGTTTTTCATTATCCCGTATTGGATCTTTGTGTGGTAAAATGGTGAAATCAAGTCATATACATAGCAAATGTATTTTTAGTGCTTGAAATATACAATTACATGTAAAATAGGGATAGCTCTCCAAGCCCTAGCTTGTTTGGCTCAGTGGATAGAGTGTTGACCTGCAGACCAAAGGGATCCAGGTTCAGTTCTGGTCAAGGACACGTTCCTCAGTTGCAGGCTCCCCCTGGCCTGGGCCCTGATCAGGATGCATTCAGGAAGCAATAATTGATGTGTTTCTCTCACATTGATATTTCTCTCTAAAAATCAATGGGAAAATATCTTCAGGTAGGATTTTAAAAAAAAATCTCTAAGTCTTCTTAATATATCTGTATAGCATCATCATAAAAGTCAGTTTTATATGACACATAATGTTTAGAGAAAATGTTTTCCAGATTAGTCAGGGGAAAAAAGGACAAATGAGTGACTCCTTTATTGAGATTTATAAGCAAAAATACCCAAGAAAAAATAAAAAGTGCTGAATTAAATCTATAACCAGGGTATAGATTATGTTTCTTTGGGGAAAATCTGGAAACTACCACTGTGTGAACATGGTTTCAAAGCAAAAGGTTCAAATTATATTTAATAAAATACAATAAAATCAGAAAATTTAAAAATATGTTTTATTCTTTATATTTCAAGTAAGCACACAAATTTAATAATTAACAATATAAGTGGTTTAAAATTTATGTGTGTAATATTTTTAAATAAAATAAGATACACAATACATTTAAACATTCTTTCTTCAGTTAACCTCTTTTTTCTTTTTGAAATGAATATAGATTGACAGAAAGTTACAAAAATAATGCAGCATAGAGAGCTACCTTGTACCTTTCACTCAGTTTTCCCCAATCATGATATCTTATGTAAATTACAATGTTAAACCCAAGATATTGACATTACTATAATTCACAAACTTTACCAATTTTATAAGAATCCATTTGCTTTTAAATTCTTGTAATCACTACCACATTGAACTATTTTTATATTCTAGAAAATAATTACCAATAATTATTTTGTTACTCAGAAGTATGTTTGTTAAGGAAAATGCAAGGTATATAATGAAACTTTTTCTGTGTTTACCAACTTTCATTTTATTGAGTTGGTTCCGTAGAGGAGAATTTTAACCTTTATTGAGTACATCATTACATGCCTATTTTAGTCCTTAATGTAAATCTCTTACTAAGCATAGGAACATATATTAAGTGTAACAGTACATTTAATCCTAGTGAAGTATTTTGGCATGTCACTATTTCACTGACAAAGAAATGTATTAATGCACAGAAATTCTCTTATGTGCAATACTTTACTTTGAAGATGACAAAGGAATACTTAACAACAGGAAATCCTTTACATGTC